AACCGTTTATAAATGCTTTATATAGGCACCAACCACATGTGTCACACTAAACTCCTGACAATTGATTTCAATAGAGTTTGATGTCAGGATGTTGATAAGCTAAAGGCACGATACCCTAATAAGAGTAATGATAAGCTCATAAAAATACTAACTAATCTAGTTTAAAATATACTTTATTTTAATGTTGATATCAATCAACTTTTCTTTTGCCTCGTCCACTATCTTGTATTATTTTGTCTAAATTCACTTGGTTTTGGAGTGTACAGAACTGAGGATGTGCTTTTTATAGTCTTTTGTTAAGTGATGGGACATGATGGAAACTGTAAAAACTCTCAAGTGTGTGTGTGGGGGCTTTTGAAAAGCTCTCAGGTGTATACTGTCTGTCCCCAGGACTGGATATTATTATGAGGTGTTTTATCTGCAGGGTTCATTACTGTTGCAGAAGAGCAGGTGAGGTTATACATGCTTTAATTAGTCACCAGGGGGAACATATACTTGTATCTTTGGTCCATTCGGGCATAGCAGACAGCTTTGGTGTTTCTTTTTTTCTTTTCATTTTATCATGATGACTAGTACAGAAAAGTGCTTATAAGGTGATCCTGGGTATTTTGTGGTATGTCTAAGGCATAGACTTATAGCAGCATGTACTATTCTCTGATTCTAGGTTGAGAGAGACTTACTGCATGCGCAATGCAAATCAAACCTGACATAAATTAAGCTCGACTTATATGTAAAAGCAAGCCGATTAACACAAACTATCTAACATTGGCTGATGGTGTGAGAACCATCTATCTATGTTTGCTGCATATTTATCCACATATTCAGAAGGTTTTAACTGCATTCATGTGCCTCAGTGAGCGTTGCCAAGCGGAGAAAGCTGAGTCTGGAATCACCACACATTCCCAGAGCACCATTGTAATACTTGGATGCTCCAGTAGTTATAAAGCAAAGCAAGCTAAATATAGACCACGGCTTGCATCCTCCCCCAAGCTGATGGCGTACAACAAGACATCATGGTACTGAGCAAGGGACTACCATTTTATTGATCCATTATCATATTTGTAGACTGTGATTCAGACGGCCTGCCCACAATCTGTTTGCTAGCAAAAAAATCATATCCTTTGGGATATCAGATACCACTATCTGGATGATCTACATTGTGTTGAAACTCCAAAAACACGTCAATCAGAGAAATAAGATCAAGATGCATATTGCTCAGAAAACAAGGAAGTACTTTGTCAGCCTGGACAGTTCTGATCTGATTGGCTGGCTTTACACAACTTCCGGGAGCAAGGGGGCACAGTATTTTTAGTCTACCTGAAACAAAGTCATGTTTACAAGGTACTGGACTGATACAAGGAGAGCTTTTAAGGATGAAATAATCACTGGATTTTCCAAACGTTTGCCAGGTTAGTGACATCAAATAATTGAAAAATGTTGAGAGGTTTCTGTGTGGCACTTAGTAACTTAACTAGATATCCATGAGCAGAACTATATTCTGCTTTTTTACTGAGTTATTTCTGTGAAATGTTTTTGTTTTTTTTGCATGGGTCTGTACATATTTTCCCACATTTTTTTTCTAGGGTTTTCTGTTTCTGGATTGCTGTACCTTAATTTATTCCATTAATTATTTATTCATTTGTATTTTTTTATTTTCATGGATATCTGTTATGGTATATTTCAGATATACTCGCCCCTAAGTGACACTTGGTCATTTGCACTATACATGCCAGTCAGAGTGTCTAAAATAACTCAACTGCAAATAACACCTGATTCCATTGCTATCACACTTCTGCAGGTCCTTTCACAGCTTTTAGTCTTGAGTGCAATGCCCAAGTGATTGGGTTCTTTGTCTCAGCAAATGGGTTCTGTCAGCCCTTTGATTTCTCACTATCAGAAACTACAAGGGAATGATGTGAGAGTTAACACAACCCCAAGATCAGCCCTTATACGCTCTCTACATAAAATGACCCAATGCTGTTATCAATGGCCCAATTCCTTAGTGCTTATTGATGTTTCCCAGTAACCGCAGTGACAAATGCCATGATAGCCATCCCAGCATACCCTGCTGACCACAGCCTGTCATGTGACACTACATTAGCTTGCTTCCTGGGGGGATGGACAGGGGAGATGACTGTGGCTTGTATTTATTTTGCATTTTACTTTTTTACTGAGTGTACTAAAAGTATATACTGCACCTTGCTTTCATGTTTGTTTTAGAGACTGGAAGTTAAGCCAGATTTGATAGTACATTTTCTAAAAGAACTGCCTCATATTCAGTGCTGTAAAACATCTTTTTTTTCTGTCAGGCCTATGATGAAACTGAGATGATATTATCATTTTATGTTTAAATACTGAGCCTGAAACTGATGGAATATCCAAACATTCAGAGTTAGGGGTTCAATCATTATCAAAATCATATCTTTTGGGATATCAGATACCACTATCTGGATGATCTGCATTGTGTTGAAACTCCAAAAACACGTCAATCAGAGAAATGAGATCAATCCTTGTTAGTGTGCTTTATTAATGAATAACTTGTTAAAGACTCTTCAGATAATGCAGATTCAATCACATCACATATAACCTAATCACTGTAAATGGTAAAATGGTAAATGGACTGCATTTATATAGCGCTTTTCACAGACCCATGGCCACCAAAGCGCTTTACAATTTGCCTCACATTCACCCATTCACTCTCTCATTCATACACCGACGGGCGACTGTAGAATGTGCTTTGATGTAGGTCGCATTATGCATAGGAACAGGTTTATATTTTTTATCTGTAGTCATTTAATGATTCACCCGCAGCATTAGTGGACATACTTTTTGTCTAGAACATAATCTAATGTTTAGTAATAATCGGATGTTTCCTGTTTGGAAACTAAATGTACGATGGAGGCTGTAATGTTTCTGCACTCACTCCACCCTCTAGTGGACAGTAATCTCAATTATCAAGCTAAATTAACACATGCTGATAGTGTAAAAGGAAATTAATAATTAAAAATGTTATATGCATTTATATACAAACACAAAACATTCTCCAATGTCAACAGGAAAGGCTGAAAAGAAAAAAACTAAACTAAACCTAATGATTTAAGTTTAAGTTTTATTTGTAATAAACATTTGTAATAGAGGAGGGAAAATAGTCAGTTGGTCAATATGACCCAATAAAAAGTTACCGATGATAAGGCAAGATAATTTAATATTATTTAAGGCAATTTATGGGTAATACCTTTTATAGAGATTTGACACAGACATCATCTTTCAGAGGGGCAAACAAGAATTAAACAGCTCTGTTCATGTGATTAATTACTACACCCATGTAAAAATGTTTACATGAAATCAAGAAAGTCTGCACTTTCATTTATTGACAACTCTCTGTAAATATCTTTTATTAGACCCTTCAAACTCAAACGTAAATTGAAATTGTTTGCTTTTACTGTGTATAAAGTGACCAGGATTGAAAGCATGAAAAAAAAAAAAAATACTATCTCATGAAATATAGCATAACAAATTATCTGGCATCAAGTGAATTGGTAGCCTGGGAAAACCCAGACAACTTCCGGCAAATTTAGATTTGCTCTGAAAGTTAGTCTGGCAAAGAGCTCATTCAAGCCCATTTCCAATCCGTCGAAATCGAGGCACCAATCAGAAACGTTGGGGCGGGCTTTACACGATGACGACAGCGCTGGGATTTTGAAGCAGATTTTGTAGCCTAGATTACAAAGATGGATGCCGCCGTCGAACATCAATCGTTCGAATCAGACATCCGGAAGTTGTCTGTTTTTAGTGATTTGAACGTTTCCTTTTTGTTAAAAACCGAGCAAAGAACAACACTCGGAGATGTTTCTCCGCCGCTCTGCATACGTCCTCTCCTTCATCGCTCTGATTGGTTTTAGGTCTATCCGCGACTTCCATTGGTGACGCCCCTATGGAAATGATTTGTCTATGACGCTTTGCCAGACCATAACTCAGTTACAACTGAGAATGGTCTGGGTTTAACCAGGCTAGTGATTTGGTGGACTCTTTGAGTATGGCAAGCCATTTTAGCATGTAGGCCTATTTTTCTGTTTTTAATTTAGTAGTAGACTAACCAATTTTGTAACTTTTTTTAACAAATAACAGAAATATATACTATAAAAGATTTGAGTAATTACAACTAACTAAAAATAAGTACTAGTATTTAATGGATAAGTAATAATAGAATGGATAAGTAATAATGTAATAGTGAATAGATCGGCCTACTAGTCTGGTGACTGTAATCAGGGGCGTGGTTTCCAATAAGCAAAACTAGCAAGTAAAAGGTGGAAATTAGCACATGTGCTAAAACCTGGTAAAATGCATCTCTCCTGTCTAAGGTTAATGTATATTTTGCACTGTCCCTGTCAAAAAAAATAAAAATAAAAATAATAAAATAATAATAAAAAAAGTAGCCTACAATTAGTTGTGCACAATCGGAGCGCAAATCACAGTACCGTGTGCTCGTTCACCAGCGCGCTCCTAAAGCATGATAAGATTTGTTCGAGCCGCTCCCATCACTTTGCCGATGAGAAAATGTGTGACCCGTTTGAATTATATCGATAATTTACTTTTTTAAATGCTATGGAAAAAGGCAAATATCTTAAACAGTCACATACAAAGAAAGACCTGACGATAAAGAGAGGAGAAAACATTTACTAGAATGTATCATGCTTTATTGTACAGTTAGGCTACTGTGGTAAAAAATTTTTGGTAAAACTTGTACAATTAATCTGTAGTAAAGGTAATAGATTTTTCCCTATACAACGATAGGCCTATGTTATGTTATAAATGTGTTGCTGTTTTTCATAACAAATGCTATATAGTGGTATATAATGGTATAAAGTTCAAACCAAATCTATGCTCTTGTTTGTAATAGACATTAGCCACTGTTGCATTAATACTATTCACATAGCCTATAAATGTAAATGCGGCTTGCCGCACGGGGAGGGGAGAGAAAAGAGGGTGGAGGCGAACGAGGGTGATAGATAAATCCAGACAACACCCTAAACCGGTTTAAAGTATATTCCTAGTTACTGTATGTGTGTGAGAGAATGCCACGGGCTGCGCAGAATTTCCAAGGCCCAAAAGTGCGGAGCTGTACAGAGCCATGCTTGCGTCTTTGTTTGTTTTGCACGTTTCCAAGCGATGATAACGCGAATTCGGTTAGCGTTTGAGGAAGCAGCCCCTAGAGTTGGCTTGCTCAGGTCTGGATGTATCTGATTGGAGTAGCAGCAGTCAGAGTGGGTGATCACAGGGAGGAGGGGAGAGACTCTGAAGTGGCTTTTCTGCGTGTGTGTGTGATTCTCCAGCGGCCATGTTAACCAAGAAACCCTGCGCTGCCGCTGCTGCTACTGCTGTCTACCCGACTGGTAAGGAACCCAATTCCCGGATCTAAGAGAGCGACGCCGGGCACGTTAATTCGCCGGATTGGATTTTGGAGATGGATTATTTATCCGATTTAAATGCTCCATAACGCTTGTAAGGCTCGCAGCGTTTTGTTTCATTGCTCGTGGTGACTGGTTGAGTAACGTTACAGTAGCTATAATCCCCGGAAAACCATTAAAAAACCCCGGCTGTTTTTGTATTCAGTAACGTTAAATCGTTCCTGTTGCTATAGTGACTATATTTAGAAACCAAGCGCTTTGGATTAATGTCTCTTAGATTTATTGGGGGTTTTATAGCTCTTGTGTCTGGTATAAAAGGTTTTCGTTGTGCTAATGTTGGTTTTCGTTTGTTAAAATGCTGTAAATAGTCTGGTTCACTTTAAATTTCCTAATTGATTTATACATCTGATGAATCGATAGGCTATTCTTCTCTGGACGAACTAACGTTAGCCTTTTATGATCTCTTTTGCCTTTTAAAAATACTGACAGGTTAAATAAATTGTGTAAACATTTTTTCCGAATACATGTTTGCTAATTTCCACAGGCAAAGGGGGTGAGATTTGCCAGCTACAGTCTTCCCCCGGACTGGGCATCGGGGGTCCCCGGGCTGTAGCAGGGACTGAAGCCACATCACCCGTCACACTACCACCACTCAGGAACAGCAACTCTCTCACGGTAAAATTAACCTTCTTGGTTGCACTTTCCACAATGCATGCCTCCTGAGTCCTCCTTTGTTCTCATAATCTGAGTTTTGCTACAATGTTAGCATATATTTTGGCTAACTAGTGCATTGTTTGAGGAACCAATGGGGTTTTCAAACTTAATGGCAAAGACCACATATGATAATTCCCTTCCTAAAATAAAGGCTGCTATTTATCTTAATGTAGAAATACTGTCTGACATGACATTATAATATTTTCAAAGTTAAGAAAATAATTGGTGTTTATTTATATTGTAAAATGTACTAAATCCAATGCTAATTATTAAAATATTTACTTTGTATTACTGTGTGTATTTTCCTACACTTTTAGATTAATATTAGAGGTAAATGTACCTGAAGAAACCAGTTTCAGTCTAATTTGAATTGATTTAGTGCTTTTCACAATAAATGTTTCACTACAGTTTTACAAAGAATAGTTCCTTACAAATTACACTGAGCGAGATAAAGGTTACAGTTAACACATTAGCTTTGACAGCCCTAAAAAATAAATGTATTAAAATATTTTTTTCTCTCTTTCTCTTTAAAATTTTCTGCGGACCCCCCTAGAGTGCTCTCTTGCGGCCTTCTGAGGGCCTCCCAAACCCCAGTTTGAAAAACCCTTTTTTATAGCATGTGTTATTAAGGGCCCTGAAGTAAGGGTCCGTGATTCATACAGAATGCAAACCTGTTACTGGATTTTAACTGAGTATTTTTATGCACATCATTGCTTGTACAGTAAGTGACTTCATGAATGCAGCTAGTGGAGTACAAAATAATCAGATTGTATGTCAATTTTGTGAGTTGTTACATTAGCAATGCATGACAAAAAGGGTCTTCTCTGAGTCTTATATGGATACAGAATTACAATGTAATGATTAGACAGTGCACTGTATTTGGAAGGTAGGCCTATGCATTTATAAGAGACAGTAGCAAGAAGACTCTGACAGTAGTTTAAAGATGTTGGAAACTAAAATGCATGTTTTAAACCCATGTTTTGATAAATTAATTTGATATTAATTTTGAAGAAAGGCATGGAATATAAGTTTAAACGGTGAAAAAATATTCAGATATGAGCAGTAGTAATGATCAGTGGCTCTCTTAGGCCCCGTCCACACTACTGCGTTTTCGTTTTAAAACGGAGACCTTTTGCTACGTTTGCACCTCCCGTCCACACTAAAACGGAAAAAACGGCGACCCAAAACGGAGAAGTTTAGAAACGCTGCCGATCCGTTTTTCGTTTTGAAACTCCGGAGGGCGTTTTAGTGTAGACGGGTCAAAACGGAGGACTTTAGAAACGATGACGTAGTAGAGGCTCACGCTCGGCTCTATGATTGGGTGTCATCAGTCATGGCGTATATCTTTGCTAGCAGCTGTTGTACAAGTAAATTCTGCATTTTACAACGCTATAACTGCCTACATGCGCCGGAGTCAAGCTATTATTCGAGCGATCTGTGACAATTCCCGTGTGCAGCAGCGGCGTTGACCGTACATGGAGCGTCGGTTTGGGGTTAACCCAGAGCATGGTGGGATAATTTTATCAATGAAGTTGTGTTTACACCGGCACGCGCATGCCCAGTGTTGGTGAATGGTCACGTGATCCGCGTTTTCAGTCGTTTTAATGTGGACGGAGATCAATTCTAATACGCAGCTAAAACGCTGGTGTGGACGGAGATCGTATTCGTTTTAATTCTCCGTTTCTAAACTAAAACGCAGTAGTGTGGATGGGGCCTTAGAGTCAATGGTTGATGTATTGTGTGGAGATGTTGCCATTGGTGGGGGATGGGAAATTCTTAGGCCATCAGTCTGACGCCAACAGGCACAGCTGAAATCTGTCATCTAGTGAATTTCCTTATGTAAAGCTATACATCCAAAATCTTAATCCATTGAGCCTTCACGGCATGATGTAGGACTAAAAAACATGATATTTTAGCGAAAAATTAGTCAGTTTGCTAAAACACATGCAATGCACGACAATGAAATGCTGCTCAATAATTAGTTTATTAGTAATGTTTAAAGAATTGCAGTTTATGCAAATGTATTTGACACATCACTGAATTAAATAAAATAATTGGATCAATGCCATTTATGACTAAGTAGCTGTGAGTTCTTTATTTAGCTGTCATTCTTTTAGAGGTAAATATAGACACAGACTCGCATGGTAGGCACATTTCTACGTGTGCATAGTCTTACAAAACAGAATTCCTGCCACATGTAATGAATCCAATTACATCTCAGCATTGTATTTGTAAATCTAGCTCGTCAATCAACATTTATATTTTAAGACATTTAATTGCTAATCTAACATGGAAATTTATGAATGTCAATATGTCTTATTTCAGTGAATAAACAATTAATAAAATAAAAATATGCTTAATGATTGAATGAGAACTTTTTCAGGTTTTTGCAGATACAATTATAATTATAACATAATAAGCTTATTGGGAATTATAACTTCCATCTTGCTCTCGCTTATTACTTAGGCTACATGGTGATTAGGTGTCATGATGAGCTATGATTTGATGATGCTTAAGTTAACAGTAATAACAGTAATGATTTTGAAGGGCAGTACGTTGGGCTCATTCCTACTTGGTTATGTAACAGATTACATCAACAAATTAGAGCTGATTGTATACATACAAGATCTTAAAAATAATTTCTGATGTGCTTTTCAAATGTCAAATTCACAGTCAAGTTATGTATGGGAAATGGCCATTAGTAGGACCTTTAGGGACACACTCTGTGTTGATTTTGGCTTTGAAGCTATTTAGAAGGTTACTTCCAATTGTATGACGAAAGTTTTAGATCGGCCAGCCACTCATGTAAGAAGACATTCTAGTCTTCAAGTTTTATAGTAATTACAAGGACAGCAATACTTATTCTGTCTTTATTTTTCTGTATGTTAAAATATCTGTCCAGTTAGATTTGAGTTACATCATAAATTAACATCATTAAGGGCAGTTGAATCACAGATTTTAAGCACTCCTCTCAAGCCGTATGTATTTTGCAGAGTAGTGAGCATTAGAATGATTGCCATGCTCACTACATTTCCTAGACCAAATGTGTCTTTTGTTCGGCTCCAGTTGTGTCCTCTACAGCTGCCAGCAAGCATGTATTTTCTACGACCCCCCACCTGTTCAGATCCTGTTTGAATTACCCAGCAGGGTGACCAAGTACAACAAAAGGTTGAAATTGAAGCTTTATTCAGATTCATTTTTAGTTCCAGAGGCTCATTTTAAATCTCATTAATCTCTTGTGTATGATGCATGAGCTCAATATTCAGTCAGTGTGATACATTTTTTTTCCTGCAGAAACTATATACTCTTTATGATGGCTGGTAAATTATCAAGAATGTCCTGCCTTAGCTAATACTTAAATCTATGCTTAATATCATAAGCTTATAAAACAGTGTGCGGTTTATTTTGTGACACTAAATATTGGTTTACTGATTTCAGATTAGATATTGGTTACATTTATATTTATATTTGAATGATAGTTTTCTAAACTAGAAGCCTGTCATTAAACAGGACATTATTGTCACTGTTTTAGTTTTGCGTGAGACATGGCCAAAGCAAAAAATATGCCTGTATTTTGTAGGGGTGAACCCGAATAGTCGAAGATTCGATGCTTCGATAGGAGGAGCCTGATTCGACTACCAATCTCACGGTCGAATCTTCGCAGATGTGTTATTAAACGAGGATTATGTCATTTTGGCTATATGAGTGTGCTCAATGTCTGATTTCACATAGAACTACTGGTTTTCTGTCAATACGTTAATATACAGCCTATTATGATAATGCTGTCAATAAAAATGTGCAAAGAAAGAAGCTTTTAATAAATATTTTTTTAACGTGCGTGCAGCGTGAATAAATCCAAACACCCCGTGACAGATTTAAGTTTCACTTTCGATCCGTGACCGACAGAGGAGCGTCTTGTCGGCAGGGATTTAAATCTTTAAAAATGTCTGGGATAAGAAAATCTAAAGGTGCACACCATCAGAAAGGATATTCTCCAAGGCTGGATTTAGCATCAGGAAAACCATGATCGCACTTCTGCCGAACAACGTTAACAGGTTGGTTTTCCTTGGGACGTTCTAAAACGCTTAACGTGAAAAAAGCTTTTAAAACGCTTAAATTGCACTTTTACGTGCTTAATGTACACAGTAGGCTACACACCTTAAGAAACCATTCTATGTGCAAAGCAGATGAACCCAGAATATGAACGCAACGCGTTTCTCCTATAGAAAGTCACGTAAAGCTTTTTCTTTAACGGTTTTCTATGGGAGGAAAATGCTTAACGTAGCCTATAATAAAACGCGTTGCGTTCATATTCTGGGCTCATCTGCTTTTATGTAGGCTATATAGTATCCTTTATTAATAAGGTGTGTACAGAATTTGATCTTTTAATATAACAGTTTTAGGACAAAGCCGTTGAGCGTTTTTCACGTTAAGCGTTTTAGAATGTATTTTATCCGCGCACACAATTTGAAAAGACTCAAACGGACACACAGCTGAAAGACTGGATTTAGTTTTTTTCGATCAGGTATGGGTAAGTGATTTTGAAAACATTTCAGCCGGTTCTAATTTGATTTTTGGATACTGTGAACATGTTTAGCTAAAAAGACTGCCGCTCCAGTTTAGCGTTTATTGTTGTTTCTGCAGTTAAAAAGACAAAGTTGACAATCCTGGCCATACTTTCGTTATTTTAATAATTTCTTTATTTTTATTTTATTAATTGATCACTCAGGGTGATCTAATTTAACTAAGCATGCTCGTACAGGCAATTCAGCCGATTTATTTGATTTGCATGTGAAATGCAAATCCTATCTGCAGTGTGGCCTTTCTGCAGTTATGTTATTTCTTAGTTTTATTGATCCAAAATGTTTTTATACATTTTCTTCTATATCTTTGTGTGATGTTCTGTACATCGCGGCTTTAAAATGTTAAAGCCCCGCCCCCTCCCCGACGCCACACACATGATTCGACTATTAGTCGACTATAGGCAGGACTTGACGAATCTGATTCGACCATGAAAATCCTTAGTCGGGGACACCCCTAGTATTTTGAGTGATTTTAGAGCAGATTGTATCAGAGACTTTGGATTTAGAGTTCAAGCTGGGTATTTATTTTTATCTTCAGTCAGAGGTGTAAAAACATCAGTACTTGCCATCTGGGTATTGGAGATAGGTTGAGATAAAAATGATCTGTAAATATCAGAAGTCTTGCAATGCCCAATATGCTTTTACACTTGGAGATTATCACTCTCTCTGCATGTGAATACGGAAAGGCTGAGATTAGACAATAAAGCACAGTTAAGTGGATCATGAATATTATCATTCAAAACACAAAAATAAACGCTAATCCGTTAAAATTACCTTGCTGAAATAACAGGACAACAGTCATGTCAAAGGGGGTCATGTTCAAATGTGTAAGAGTTTATGTTTTGTATAAAATGAGAAGGTTGCTGCAAACATCTTGCTGAAGCAACAGGATGTCCTTGTAAAAACAAGATTCAGAGGTAATCACATTATCAAGGAAGTAAGCATCTTGCAGGGCAGGAGATTCAGGAAAGCAGGAAATTCATGTTTAATGACCTTAAATAAACAACAACAAAAAAATATTTCAAGTCTCCCATAGCTGAATTCCACATGCAAAAAACGAGATATTGTCTAACATCAAATAGCATTTAAATGGAAAGGTTGAGAAATTGCACTACACGCATTGGACACCAAATCTCTTAGATCAGTAATTTAACATACTGAAGTAAATTATACAAACCAGAAGGACCCGTCATGTGTCGGAAGTCAATGCATAACACACATAATACATACACATAAGTGCCCAGTCCGTTGTTATTCTGCAATTTTTTTCGATCAAGGTGTTCTTTTCCCTCTATGGATTATGTCCTGATCTCTGGCCTTTACTATAGGAAGCTTCATTTTTATTGATCCACCAACAATAGACAAGGAAGATTTTGTTGTACTTTGGGTTGTACTTTGTCCAAACTTTGCTAAGCACAAGAATCAAGTTAATTAATAATGCATGCAAATAAACATGGAATGACATTTTTGTGAGCCTGTTGTAGAGAATCATGGAAAAACTCCTGCCAGGATTGACAGGGTTGGAATGGCTTGGATATTTAAGCCATTACATGGCTGGCTCTTTTATGTCAAATCTAAATGTGTAGATATTATCAGCTGTGTCTGTGTGTCCATAATTTATTTGGGAAACAATCCTGAAATGATGCCTCTTGCTTTTGTTTTACCTTATCCAGGCTGGAGGCAATAAGCACACAATGAATGACCATCTGCACGTCGGGAATCACCAGCAGATCCACGTCCAACAGCTGTTTGAGGAGAACAGCAACAAACGGACAGTGTTGACTGCACAACCCAACGGGTTGACACCCGTAGGTAGAGCAGGTCTGGCCATGCCGGAGAAGCAGCAAGAAAGCAGCCAGTGTCGACAAGGCAGCTCAACTTCCATCAAATCAACTGAAAGCAAACCTAAGCCAGCGCCTTTGACTCCTGAGCAGGCCATGAAACAGTACATGTCAAAGCTTTCAGTGTTTGAACACCAAGAAATCTTCAGCTACCCTGAGGTCTATTTTATAGGTCCAAATGGGAAGAAAAGACAAGGTGTAGTTGGAGGGTCTAACAATGGAGGTTATGACGACGATCAGGGCTCCTACATTCATGTGCCCCATGACCATATATCATATAGGTATGAGGTACTAAAGGTTATTGGTAAAGGCAGTTTTGGCCAGGTGGTGAAGGCCTATGACCACAAGAACCACCAGCAGGTGGCCCTGAAAATGGTCCGTAACGAAAAGCGATTCCATCGCCAAGCAGCTGAGGAAATTCGCATTCTGGAACATTTGCGCAAGCAGGATAAGGACTCCACCATGAATGTCATCCACATGCTGGAGAACTTTACATTCCGCAACCATATCTGCATGACGTTTGAGTTGCTCAGCATGAACCTCTATGAGCTCATCAAGAAAAACAAGTTTCAGGGCTTCAGTTTGCCACTAGTGCGCAAGTTTGCACACTCCATCTTACAGTGTCTGGACTCACTGCACAAGAACAGAATTATTCACTGCGACCTCAAACCTGAGAATATCCTTCTGAAGCAGCAGGGGCGCAGTGGGATAAAAGTGATTGACTTCGGCTCTAGCTGTTATGAGCATCAACGGGTCTACACTTACATCCAGTCACGCTTCTACAGGGCCCCAGAGGTCATTCTGGGTGCTCGATATGGGATGCCAATTGATATGTGGAGCTTAGGTTGTATCTTAGCGGAATTACTTACAGGGTACCCTCTCTTGCCTGGAGAAGATGAAGGGGACCAACTAGCATGTGTCATAGAGCTGTTGGGTATGCCCTCCCAGAAGCTACTGGATTCATCCAAGAGAGCAAAGAATTTTATCAGTTCGAAGGGATATCCCCGTTATTGCACAGTCACAACCTTAGCTGATGGCTCAGTGGGGTTGAATGGGGGAAGGTCACGTAGGGGCAAACTCAGAGGTCCACCAGGCAGCAGGGACTGGGTGACAGCACTCAAAGGCTGTGATGACCCCCTCTTCTTGGACTTTCTAAAACAGTGTCTAGAGTGGGACCCGTCCCTGCGTATGACCCCTAGTCAGGCCCTCCGCCACCCATGGCTCAGAAGACGCTTGCCAAAACCACCCACTGGGGACAAAACCACCGTAAAGCGGATCACTGAGGGTACTGGTGCTATAACTTCAATCTCCAAATTACCTCCCCCTTCTGGCTCAGCCACAAAGTTAAGGACTAACATGGCACAAATGACTGATGCCAATGGGAATATACAACAAAGGACAGTGTTGCCAAAATTAGTCAGCTGAACACTAATTTTTTTTCTTTTAAATAATGATATTGGAAATTGTTATTGCTATTGGAAAGCTGAGCATTCAGAAGCGTGGGTTTTTTAGGAATGAGAGTCATTAATGCATATACACCATTAATGAACTGCTTCGTAGCACCTTTAGTTGGATTTTTTTCAAAGGAAAGCTCAAATGGCCAAGAAAGGGGGAACAACACTTTAAAGTTTTTTATCTCTGGACTTTGCTGAATGCTGCTTTGAAGGAGCAGTCTGGTTCTGCAATCTGGTCTTTAGTAACAAAAAGTCCCACTTTGGTTTAATACCTACATATTGTAGCATAAAAAAGAAAATTTAATCACCACCCTCAGATCCTGTCAGATAAATAGTGTGTTAAAGGTTAAAAATGTATTTACTAAAAGCTATTTGATCTGAGACCTGTTGCATTGCAGCCTAATGTTGTCAATATCAAGACAAGATAATTTTATAAAACCCTCTAAGAGACTATGTAAGAGAAACAGGTAAAATGGAGAGTGGATGTTGCAGACTGTAATGAGGTAGCAAAGGGAATCAATGTTTACATGATAGACTTGGTATGTGCCTATAAATCTCTTGACATTCCTTAAAGACATTAAATGAGGAAAAAAGAGAGTGTCTAGATTGATGGCAAGTTTAAAGGAATTTATGCGGCTAAATGGAGACGATACTCAGCAGTACTTGACACTCTTGTAATTATAAGCTATTCGCTGGAAGAGTTGCTTTTGAAAGTGTACTGTTCTGGAAGGAAAACAAACTTTGGTGCTTTACCTTTTTTATTTATGATGTTTTTTATATCTTGAAACGTAACGCTTCTGGAACAAAACAGTGTTGTGTAATCAGTTGAGTGAAGACTTAGTTTGAAGATTAGGGTCAAGAATGTTCTTTTTTTTTGTCTTGTATCTAAAATGAATGCTTTTTTGCTGTGATTAGGACTAAGAATTTAAGAATAGGAAAGCAGAACATTGCATTTACTTTAATGCAAGCAAGTAATCATGCATGATACATATTTTAGATGGACATGGTTATGGCAGAGTATGTCACGATTCAAGTCTCTAAACAAATCTATAACCACAAAGACAATACAGATGGCAACATTGCATATCCTCATATTGTTACATAATCATTGTGTGGACTTGCTAATATGAGGCCAGAGTTAAAATTCTTAAAGGTTGTTCCCTTTTTAAAAAATAATGTTACAAATAAGTTATTAATAACACTTTCCCCCCAAATCCAAAACAGTTGGATTTGAAAAAAAATATTTCTCTTTAGAACACAAAGACTGGCCATTTTTGTAGCATTTGTGACATGGAAAGAATAATTTGACTGACATGGGTGTAAAAGCTTAGTAAGTTTAACTTATTTATTTCATTTTATTGTGTCAATGAAGAGCTAATATAGGAGGAACCAGTGGAGGTGGCTTGTATATCAATGGATCGATTTACGGTGCAATGCACAAAAAATATATCTGCCACTACTTTGAAATCCTACTTTAGCAGGGGGTAGTCCTGCTTATTTTCACCCAGTCATGGATTGGGGGTGTGGAAGGAGGTCAAACTATGGGCTGTCAGGGAGACCAGCAAAGCTGTAATGCTCATGTTGATCCCTCCCCCTCCCCCACTAGAGGCTGGCACAGTGCCCACCAGGCCTAATGCACACTGCACAGGGCCTAAGGCCCTTTTGGACACCCATAGTGCTTTACAAATGCAGACGTTACCTGCCAACATCAGCAGGCATTTCACAATGTACTTTACACTGTTTTTATTGTTCTGTGAATTGACAGCAGTGTGGAATAATTGTGCCCTTAGGTTTAATACAATGTGCCTTTGGTTATCAATGCCATTCATTTTATTTCAAACAACAGTTCTCCCTACCATTTACTTTGAAAGACTCATGGTGATTCTCTTGCACATGTTTGAGCATTGCCCAAAGATTGGCTACTTCCCAAACCTTGTTAAATGGGACTTGGGGACAACTGGCCGCACAGTAGAGGTTGTACATGCATTTCAGACACTCAATCTTTTTTTCTACTATGATTTGAGAGGAGTAAACAAATAACTTTAGGGCCCTTTTCCACCTGGGATGTCTTAGTAAGAGACAACAATCACTGACATAGAACAAGTGTCTTCACCACTGCATTCATGTTATCTTAACATCACAAGTATTCACGGTGATACATTTGGTTTATTTTATTTCAATACAAATGAGAACACATTTTAATATTTTACCTCAGACTGTTGTGATATTCTTGTACTTTACAAATCCAGGGCATTTGGTACATACCAAAGTGCATTCCTTTCTGTGTTAGTGGCTATGTGGGAAAAGAAGCCAGATTTTCTCTTTACCTGATCAAGTGGCCATTCAAGCCACTCAAGAGTATGTCTTGAGAATGTTAATCTTCTGTGGAGAGGGAAGGATGCTTGAGCTCTATTAGACAGCCACGTCACCTGTTAAAATGTCTGACAGATGTAGCATACCTCCAAACCTCGTGTTACTTGACATGGCTGGATGTATCTTTTGAGCAGTAAAAACTGCAACCCCATAAAATACAGTGAGTAAGTTGTCATCCTAGTGTGCAATACAGTGGTAGCATTGTTGGGGAAAATCAAACCACATGTCTGAAAGTTACATTTTAAAAGGATATGCTTTTTACAGTTTTTAAATGTATGCCCTAACTCTTGAATCTAGCTACCCACTGTCAGCTTCGTTTTTTAAAAACAAATCTTTAACAGAGGAACAAAGTTGGCAATGTTTATATTCAGCCACAGAAATGTACTGTACATATGTGAATTTGTTGAGAATTCGATGTGGATGTGTACATATGTATAATGTTTTCATTTTGTGAAATGCTGCTGAAAACACTACATATATTGCTGTAGTGGGGGTTTAATGTTGGCGGCCAGTTTAATGATACTGTATGTATTGTACAGCTGATGGAAGAAGAGGTTTTTTCTAGTGATCATTTGTTAAATTTTATTGTGTGGCTGGAATATATTAATAATAAAAGTTTTAATGTCAATCTTTACAAAATGCGGTTTGTGGTGACATCTTTAAGCAATGTGAAGAAACTAAAAGCTAAGCTAACTACGGGTCTGTTTATACGACACCATTTTTAACTAAAAACGGAAAGGTTTTGGCCATTCATTTACACAACAATGGTGTTTTGAAGGCCTAAAAAAAGGAATTTTTTTTGAAAATGGTAACGTTATTGTCTTCGTGTAAACTACAAAAATGCAAATTTGTGAAAGCTGTGACGTCATCCGCATGCATATTACGTGTTCAGTCTATAGGTGCATAGTTTTTCTTTACAAAGTGACGTCGTCAAGATGGAGTCAGGTAGACCAATCAAGTCACCTGTTTTGCCATAGAAAAAGATACACAAATGTTGCCAATTTAGCGACTTTTCAGACCGCTTTAGAGACTAGCAACAAATCTAGTGACTAGTCAGTCATTCATTATAGTAGTCAGTCATTATATAATACTCTTTCTGTTGTCTGACAGAAAATATGTAAATGAGAACAGCTTTATTGGATATTTGGCTATGTATTGAATATATTAAAATAAAGTATGTGAGTACAGATTAGGAGAGAAAATGTGTAAAGTTCTGACAATTGGCTCATTATGTCATCTAGCGACATTTAGATACTAAAGCAGGCTATTGAAAATAGTTGGCAACGCTGCACATAATTTTGGCTTGTTGTCAAAAGAATATCTGTTGAAAGTGGTGTAATTTCTAGTAGTTCACATTCAAAAACATAGTTTACAAAATAAGGGAATTTTGCAATGTTACTGTTCCTCCTAGGAACCTCAGATTGACAGTTGATCTCCAGGCAACATTTGAGTTTTATAGTTCAATATAATAATATTCATCCATTTTTTATAAATATTAGCAATGGCTAATAAGACTGGGGGAGAAGAACTTCTGCGCATGTCAGCATTATTGATAAATCTACAGTAATACAGAAATATCCCAGGACTGTTGTGAGCTTTTGCCATCTTTATCATGTTGTATTAATGCCGAATGCTGTGTGCACGACTGTGGTTTTCCTTAAGGGAACTTCCTTCAGGGGCAGAGAGAGAGATGTTGTCCATGCAACAACCATGCAAACACTCCATGTGTGTGCTATTAATAAACGGTTCAAATATTGAGGGACTATAATCAAAGTTGTTTTACCGGTAACAGGGAACACAAAATCACTAATGAGCAGCTGCATGTTGTACATTTTAGAGATTTGTACATTGTGTGCATTTATTATTTAAAGGAAGTTCAGGAACTCTCACTTATAAGTGGTAAGACCACCTATTGACTATGCGTTTCCGCTAATGTTCTATTCTGAAGCATTAAAGAAAATTGATGCCAGCAGTATACTAGATAGTGCAAATGAATGGTCCATTGCAAGTGGAGAGAACTGAAAGGTGCTTCTTCATCCTATTTTATGTTCACATCAGCTATAGTCTGATGTCCCAATATGTTTAATGTGCTTTGATGGAAATTCCTTCGTCTTTTGGTTAATACCAGCAACCAGTCATCTGCATTGTGGTAGTTTTCTGAAGCAGAGAAATTCTGTCTTCACTCACTAACTTTAATAAAGGTGTTTCTTTGGAGGAAGTCTTGGCATCTCTAAATGTGTTGTCTGTAGTGCTAATGAATTCAGTGTTGATTCTCTAAAGAAAATTCTCGGAAAGCACTGAGAATTTGTCGTGTGCTGGATCTTTTATAAGACTTTAGCAGGAGGTTGTGTTGCTGTCTTTGCCAATTATAGTTTAAAGGAAGACTATTAATAGACTTTCCAAATTCTTTACATTGCAGATAGATTGGGCTGTTAGTGCATTGATCAATTCCAACCACAGGATACCTTTTCTTCTTCAACGTCATAATAACAACCACGCATATTTTTTAGTCTGTGTGCATGATCTCAGGAATTTAAAATAGTCTTGCCCTAACTTCTAAGCCATTCATCTACAGCTTTAAAGACCATACCATTCATCTAATAGCCTTTCAGGTTTTTTAAGGTTAATATTACTTTGCCTTATACTGCCAACAATCAACTACTTCATAGTTTAAATTGGAAAAAAAATATCTACATAGCTTGAATATAATCATTGTAGAGTACATAAAACACTCAAATTAAGGGTTTAGGTTCAATTTGTTGCAGTGTAGAACTCTTATGGTGCTTTAAAGACTCAAAAAGTTCTTAATGTTGCATCATAGGTTCTTCAGATCAGTGTTTTAAAAAATACTGTTTTGTATTACTGTTTCCTTGATTTGATAACTCTTCTCTGTATGGCCATATAGGAACAGATTTTTCTTTCATGCTGTCCAGGAATGGGTTAAAGCTGGCAACCTTGCTTTCAGAATATGAGCACAGCTGAACAAGAGAAAACTACAACATGACTGTGAACAAAAACAAACCTTCCAGTTTATTTCAAGCCAGCTAAACGACTCATGAAATAAAACAGTGTCAAATACATCAGCATAGCTCAGAGAAAGGAGGCAGAAGGGATTTTCTGTCTTCATGCAGTTTTCTGTTGTTTTGGCTTATTGGCCTTTCTTTCGTTTTTGCTGGGCAAGCGAGTGTGGGAAGAATGCCCATGTGATAGACCTCTGTAAACAAACAGAGCTGGTGATGTCATACCACTGGAATGCAGAGGAATGCATTTGACAGACTGAGGGTACCGGGGGTATTTCCCCAGATAGAAGGAAAATGATCCATTACTGTCGCCTCCTCCATTTTATTACCATATCCCATTATATTTCTTAAAAGTAAATAAGTTTTAAGTGTATAAAATGTTGTTAGAAATTTTTGAAACATATATATTGAAGAAACATTTTTGGATGTACGCAAGTCGACTTACGCAAAAAAAGTAACACTTGACGATGTATGATGTAGGGGTGTGCACGAATATTCGAATTTTCGAATATTCAATCTGTAATTATTATTTGAAAAATAAAATACTATTCGAATTTTACTATGTTGCTTTGCTGGCTGTAAATGCAGTGAATCCATGATAAATCCCAAGCACTAACTCACAATTATAATTAAATTCACTGGGTGGCGCTGTGAAGCGTGTTTAACAAGTTGTTTGTATTTGATCACATAATGTTGTCGTCTGCCTCGCGAAGTTTGGAATTAGGCTACTCAGATGAAAATTATCTTACTAAATGATCTTACAAAATGGAATTATTTTTGATCAAATTAATTAATGAATCTGAGTTATCATAATATCACCATCTAGAGAAATCACATGAAATCCAAACACCAGTCGACCGAGGAAAGACAGCTGTCCATCACTGCATCACGACTGCATAATGGTACAGCACAGCTGTATACCCCGAGTGATCCGAGATGATAACTTATCTTATAGCTTAACGATTTTGAGACTTATGCTTCCTTTAAATTTCGTTGAGGGAGACAGGTTTAAGAACAGAAAACACAAAGTGGTGTTAGAAACGTCGCTTAGAACACCGATCTTTGTCTCTGCAACGTCTGTCAGCGCAGCATGTTTTCTCACTTGAGCATGTGGATGTTATTGTTTTTTCAACATGAACGTGAAACAATATAAACACAATAACCATATTCTGACTCGGCCTGTACGATAAGTGGCATAGTCTGCTTTATTAGCGGGTTTTTTTCTCCGTTAGCCTGCTTGAGCTTAAATGCTTTTGTTCTTTATATTTGTTGTTTACTCATATTATTTAATGTTTTTAACTAAAAGAAAACCTTAAGATATATTTTAAGCTTGTTGTGTATATTGCCATAAGCTTCATAAGCTTGTTCAGAAATGGTGACAAAAACGCCAACGCTTTTTCGTTAAACGCCATTTGAATAAACGAATATTCGATTTCTATGAGCCTGAATATTCAAATGCAGTATTTTTGAAAAATGCCCATCCCTAGTATGATGTAGGAATAGCGTAAGCTTGACGCCTCTCGCAGTTCAAACAAACAGGGCTGGGCAACAAACTCAAGCTCCTCCGACCTTTCTCTTTAAAAATTCTCGTTTTAGACTTCTAATTCGTGACTGGTGTTTTGTTCTCTTACGAGAGTACTCTCGTGTTGCGTAAGCTTGTCTCGTAGGTGTAGGTGTCTCGCCTGCCTGAGACTACGGGGGATGCAAATACTGAACTATTTGGACGACTGACTAATTCTAGCCCAGTCAGAGACAGAGCTGATAGCACACAGGGCTTTATTACTCAGCCATCTGCAACCTTTGGGTCTCCAAGTCAACTGGACCAAGAGCTCGCTGTCTCCCAGCCAGAAAATGTCCTTTCTGGGAACGGACTTAGACTTTGTATCAATGACAGCACGGCTGACGTCACAGCATGCGCTGCGGATACAACGCTCAGCTGTGTTTTTCAAGGTCGGCAGTATTCTCCCTCTCAAATGCTTTCAGAGGATGCTAGGCCTTATGGCTTCGGCCTCGGCAGTGCTTTGGCTGGGCTTACTTTACATGCGCCCCCTTCAGCACTGGCTGAAAATGCGGGTCCCGCTTCGAGCATGGACCTCTGGCCGTGTTCGCCTCAAGGTGACCCAGAACTGGGTTACAGCACTGGAGCCCTGGAAGGTGTCAGACTGGTACCAGTCAGGGGTGGATCTGGGAACAATCTCGAAACGAAAAGTAATCTCGACAGACGCCTGTCGAAGCGCCCTCTACGAGGGCAGGCCGGTCTTCGGCCTGTGGGCAGCCCAGGAAGGGCGCTTACACATAAACTGTCTAGAGATGAAAGCGGTCGAGAACGCCTTGGGGCATTTTCTCCCCTTCTTAAAGGGCCACAATGTCCTAGTCCGCACAGACAACATGGCGGTGGTGTCCTACATAATCCGCCAGGGCGGTCTCAGATCTCGGAGGCTCCACGCGCTGGCAGAACGCCCCCTCGTGTGGTCTCAGCACAACCTGCGCTCGCTAATGGCAAAGCACGTGCCGGGCTGTCGGAACGTGGGTCCGGACATGCAGTTACTATGGGACACTTTTGGCAGAGCGGAAATCGATCTCTTCACGCCATCAGAGAACGCGCACTGCCCAGTATTT